GTAAAATTCATTCTAAAAAGAAAAAATAACAGGTCTGGCTGCAGCAATGGAAAAAAATAATAGAACTGTAGAATCCCAGGTCAGGTATACTATGAATACCAGAATACAAGTATCATCTGGTCATCTAGTGGCAAAAGCTCACACTAGACAAGATGGCCCAGCCCCCTGTCCAGGTGAATCTTAAAATTGTCCAGCGTTGGGGAATCTACCACTTCCCTGGGGAGATTATTCCAATGCCTGATTATTCTTATTGTGAAACATTTTACTCTTGTATCTAATTGGAATCTCCCCATAAGTGACTGGTATCCATTACCTTTTGTCTTTTCCATGGGACTTCGTGAGTCTCCATCTTCTTTATAGCCACCCTTTAAATACTGGAACATGGATAAGGTCTCCCCTGAGCCTTCTTTTCCGATGGCAGAAGAAACCACTTCTCTCAGCTGTTCCTCCTATAGCAAGCTTCTCAGACCTTTGATCATCTTTGTGGCCCTTCTCTTTCCAGCCTGTCCACCTCTCTTTTGTACAGCAGGGACCAAAACTGAACAGTATTCCATGTGTAGCCTGGCAAACACTGAGTGGGACAAATACTTCTCTATCTGTGCTGGTGATGTCCTTGTTCATTCAGCCTAGCATCCTGTTGGCTTTCTTTGCCACAGCAGCATCCTGGTTTATGTTGTCCCGGGTGCAAGACCTTACACTTGATCTTGTTGAATTTCATAAGGTTCTTCTTAGCTCATTCCTCCAGCCTATCCATGTCTTCCTGCAGGGTAGCTCTCCCTTCCAAAGTGAAATATAAATGAGTGTCAGAGGTAACTGAGCACAGTACTGTTAGCATGGAGCCTGATCAGAAGCGACATCACAGGAGCTGCAGGATGTTGATGTAGCTTGCCTGCAATTGTTAGCAAGAGCTTCGGGCTATCCTACATGTAGGTTCTGTAATAACTGTGCCAGTGTGTCATTAGCTGTAGGATCTAAGTGCCTAGGAATTAGCTGGGACACCACTGGGCTACATGCTGAACAAAGGACAGCCCACGCAACATATAATGAAAATAGTTTTTTCCAGTTATAACTTAGAGCACTTGAATGATCACAGGCATGCTTAGGATTTACCATGCATAGATCAGACACAACAGTGGTGGCAAGCAGCTTCAGCAGAGGTGCTGTCCTTACCTGACACAGGGAGGGAAGATGGGGTTCCCGGGGCTTTGTGGATGGGGCTCCCTGACAACCCCTGGCAAACTGTGCTTGCTCAGAATAAAATGGTTAGACAATGAAAGCCATTCCTAATGAAGAAAATAATAACTCTTCATGTAATCTTGACATGATGTGAAATGTAGGAATCGAGTCAGCCATCCGTAATTACAGTATAACAGACCAGTGTTCTGACAAATACAGAAGATGGGAGTTGAACAAGCTGGACTGTGCTTCCAACTCCTCCTTGGCAGTGCCAGATATGGCTCTTCATCTGCTGTTTCAGCCATCTCATTGTTTTCCCTTAAAGTGGAGTTGCAAACACTTTTTTAGCTGAAGAAGACAACATATGTTTGTAAGCACTTTCAGCAGGCAAAGCTATAAAAATGCTCTGTATAATTGACAAACGTCAACTGGACATTGAGCAATTACATGAACACTTACTTTTCTTTTTCTTACATAACAAAACATGAGCCAAAAGTTAGAACTACAACCTTTTGAATATGTGGGCCAAATTCAGCTTCTGCCTCTGCAATGCAGAGCTTGTCTGCAGCAGAAGAGAAGTCTTTGTGTAGGACTGTCTGTCTTTCAGATGGTTAGTTCTCTCACTCAGGAATTGTTTTCCTCAGCATTTGTACATGCCAAATGACAGCTATGACTGGCTAATTAAGATGTACAGTAATTCATTCTTATTTAATATGAACTCAAGCAGTTTGGGGAAGGGCTCTCTCTGTGACATGTCATTATCAATTCCTAAGTATCTGTGGCTGCCTCCTGGGGATAAGATACTCTTTAGATGAAAATGTGGCCTAAGCACAGGTATTACAGAACTGTCAACATCAGTTCTGTTACTAGAGCTATGAGGAGTCTAGCTGAGTACAAAAAAAACCCTTTTCTCCTACCTTTAAAGAACTCCACTAACCAGGCTCTATTTTCTTAACCTGATTTCAATCCTGCTGAAAAAAAAATGTCCAGAATAAAAGGTAAAAATCATCTGAAATTCTGCCAAGTCTGGTGGAACACGCTAAACCACACACAATTAGCATCAGTGAGACTACAGACAAAGTGTTCAGCAGGCAGAAGCGCAGATCTTAGAAGGATGGGGCCAGAGTACATTGATGTCTCTGAAGTTGCCTTTAAATAACTAGAAGACCAAATAAGCATTTGGGGACTGAAATGACTGTGTTACAGAGCAGCAGGGCTGTGTGAACTTTGTGGCTCAGCTGCAGAACAGGAGCAGGAGAGGCAAAGAAGCCTTTCTGAAAGCTAAGCTTAGATTTGGACTGTATGGCAATTAGCAAGTGAGTTTTGCATGGCACTGCTTTCTGAAAAGGGACAATTTTTACTTATCCCTATTCCACACCTGATCTTTTTTGTATTTTTTAATGAGATGGAATGCACAGCATATTATGAACAAAGCAAGGGATAGACATTTGCCTTTAGAATGGTATTTGGAGGTTAAAGCTGAGGGCACAAGTTGTCTCTGCAACCTACTTTCATTTATGATCTAAACTTAATAATGCTCTTAAAGACATATGCCTGCATATGACTGACTCCTTCACGGCTTTAGAAGTGATGGCTAGGACTTTGTTTAGTTACCTGAAGGAGTATTATCTTTCCCAAAATAAAAATTATAGTTATGATAGCACTGAACAGTTTGCAGATTGATTTTCTCTAAAATCCCATTGTTCTTTTTAAGGATCTGTAAAAAGGTTTTGGCTGGGATAGAGTTAATTTTCTTCCCAGTAGCTGGTACAGAGCTGTGTTTTGGATTTCCAACGAAAATAATGTTGATAACAAACTAACGTTTTTAGTTGTTTCTAAGTAGTGTTTACACTATGTCAAGGACTTTTCAAATTCTCATGCCCTGCCAGCAAGAAGGGAGGGAACAAGAGGCTGGGAGGGAGATGGCTTGGACAGCTGACCCTAGCTGGCCAAAGGGATATTCCACACCAAATGGTGTCATCCTCAGTACATAAACAGAGGGAAAAGCTGACGAGGGTCTGCTATTTGGGAACTCTCTGGGCATTGATCAGCGCGTGGTAAGCAAGTGCATTGTGCATCTAATGGTTTTGTACATTCTAATTCTTTTATCATCATTATTATTAATATAATTATTATTTTCTTTTCTGTCACATTAAACTGTCTTTATCTCAACCCACGAGTTTGAGTCTTCCAGTTCTCTCCCCCATCTTGTTGGGGAGGGACACGAGCCAGCAGCTGTGTGGGGCTCAGTTGCTGGCTGGCGTTAAATGACAGGTTTCAAGGGAGCATTTTCTAGGACCCTAAAATTTGCATTTGCAGCTCTGAAATTCCAAATACCTAGAAAGAATATGGAGAAAAATAACTTGCTCTAAAATAAGTCTCCTAATTAATGTTTGCAAGTAAAGTTATGCAGCACATTCTGTTTTCAAGGTAATCCACAGTAGGAACGGAAAAAATCATTACTGTTGTGTGATGATTTCATATATGCAGGTATGTGCATGGGTTTTTTATGTATATAAAAATAAATTAGCCAAAATAAAGGAACAGTCTGATCTAACATCAAAGTTAGGCTTGCTATGAGTAGGGGATTGTACTAGGTAAGTTTCTGAGGTCCTTTCCAACCTGAATTATTCAATGATTTTAACTTGCTTTTCTGTTGGTATGTTTAAGAACTTACTGCAGGAGAGATGCCAGTGCTTATTTTAACTGAGCTGCTATAGTAAATACAACTGCTTTCACTTAACAGCTTGTCTGCTAAGGTATTTTTTTCAATTTATTTTGTATTAAATAGAATGGCATTTATGTCTTGCTCTAGATTCCAAAAAGCTTTGTGTGCCACTGAAAAATTGCTGCTCCCATCTCTGAAATGCAGTTTTTGATGCCTAGCAAATTTTTCACTTTTTTTTTTTTTTTTTTTTAAATCCAGTCAGAATAAGGAATGAAGTCCCAGCAGGTGTTAAGTGAAGCTGGGCTCCGTTTATTAACATCACTGGACTGACTCTTAGTGACACGTAGGTGCAGAGGGTTTTGATGTCATGTGTAGGGGTTGGTTCTGCAGAATGAGGTGCTGTTTACTTAAGGGTGAAGAGATTCTATTAGTCCTTACTTGTGCACTGATCTTGCAAAAAGGAGAGGTGTCTTTGTGACCATCTCTCTGAAAAGTCTTGAGTTGAAGAGTCCCTCCTGTACGGCAGGAGGGCTCCTCAGGGCTCTGGGTCTTGGGTACCGCCATAGAATGCCTGACACGAGATCCCTTGCCCAGAAAGGTGCATGTTTAAATAAGAAGAGAGGGGAAAAAAGAACTACAGATTGAAATAATTTTCAGTCACCTGCTCTAAATTCTCTACTGTGTGAAATCCCATATTCTGTTGGAAAAGACCTCTGAGATCATCGAGTCCGACCTGTGACCAAACACCACCATATCAACCAGACCATGGCACCAAGTGCCGCGTCCAGTCTTTCCTTGAACACCTCCAGAGACAGTGACTCCACTGCCTCCCTGAGCAGTCCATTCCAATATCTAATCCCCCTTTCTGTGTGGAAATTCTTCCTGATGTCCAACCTGAACCTCCCCTGGCGCAGCTTAAGACCATCTCCTATATCCTGTAGGACCAGCCGCTTGGAGCTGTTAGTACCGTCAGCGAACGTGTCGTTTCGTGCCCCTAGATCACAGCGCATCGCAGCCTTTCGGGGCGCCGCTAGCCCCGGACCCCCGGTGCCGCCCGGCCGGTCCCGCCCCGGGGCCCCGCCGGCTCCCCCCGGTCCCGCCCCCGCTGCTGGGCCGGGCCCCGCCCGCCGCCGCCATCTTTGTTGATGTGTCAGCGCGCCGGGCCGGGGCGGCCGGCGGGGAACGGCATCGGAGCGCCGTGTGCCGCCATGGCGGGGCTGTTGTTCACCCTGCCGGCCGCGTAGCGAGCGGGTGAGGGGTCTCGCCGGGGGAAAGGCGGGCGGGGGTGTGTATGTGTGCGTACGTATATGTGCGTACGTATGTGTGTGTGTGTGGGTACTCGGTGGCAGCGCCCTCCAGCCCCGCGGGCGCTGCCGGGGTCCCCGAGGGGGCGGCGCGGGGCACCCGCGGCCGAGGGCGCCGGGGCTCGGGGGACGGGACGGGACGGGACGGGACGGCGCTGCCCGGCGAGGTCGGGGAGGGGGCGGCGCGGCAGTGATCCGCTTCGCTGTCGGCGGACGATAAACTCGGGGGGGACGTGGCCGCGGGGGCGGGAGGAGGAGAGAGGGAGGCAGACAGACAGACAGACAGACAGACACGCACACTTCTCCCGGGTGGCCGCGGCGGGGCATCTCCCCGTGCGGGTGGGGGCACTGGGCTGGCCGCAGGTCCGTGGGTGAGGCACAGGGAGGTGGGAGCGCGGTGACACGGTGGCCGGGGGGTGCAGTCCTGCCTTGACAGCCCCTTCTCAGCCAGGACCTCCGGGCGGGCAGCGCTGGCTCCGGTGCTGGCTCGCAATCTCTTTGTTTCTTGACAGCTTTCTCCACCACGGTGTTAATTAGGTTGTCCTGTTTCGTTTGGCTGCGTCTTGATTTCGCTGTATGGTTAAATAATTAGGTAACAAACCCCAGTAACTGTTAAGCCAGTATGAAGGTTATTTTTTAGACTCGGCTGCGGTGCTGCGGTACAGTGTGTCCTGGCTTTTGCGGATGGTATTTGCAAAAGCTGCTTGGCCTTCTAGGTTTGAAAGGACTTCAGCGAGGTGATTATGATGTAGGCTTGCGGATTTTGGCTCTTATCCTGGAAAATAGTCTGCACAGGTGAGTCTGATATGTGTATACTGCCAGCGAGACTCTGTGCAGACCAGCAGTGGATTTCTTGTGAATTTGAAACCTGTGTGTAAGATTAAAAGTATGGCATTCCAGCTTTAGTGTTGGTTTGCTTTACCTTCTTGTAAAACTGCTTTTCAGAAGTCAAAATGTTGCAAGCAGAATGCAGTAAAACCTCACATGTGGCCGGTGTCTCAGAATGTTTTGTTGTATAAAGAAATTGTTGTAACAGCATGAGCCACAGCTGCTTTTCTCTGTCTGCAAGGAAATGTAATCACTAGTAGCTATGAATGCTTGTGTTGCCATTGACTTTACGGAGGAGATGGTTAAGCTCTAGAAATATGGAAACTGAAAATGAAGATGTTTCAAGAGGCCATAAGATGACAATTGAAATGACATTTTATAAAAAAACCCCCCAAACCTAGTTCTGTATTGCCTTTGAGTCCTCCTTTTTTTGAAAATCTTCCGTCATCTATTCTTGTCTTGGCTTTAAAACAGTATTATTCTATCATTTTATAAGACTTAATTTGGGGTTGTTGAGAGATGTTTGTTCACTTCAGTGTTTCAAACTGTTGAGAAAAGGACTGAAGAATCAAATACAGAGAGTGTTTTTTTAGGTCATAGTTAGCAGCTATGTTGCTTAACGCTACCCAAGGCTAATATTGGATTTCCCGAAGCTGGCTTTTTAAAGAGCTATGAAAAATAGAAAGGCAAGTGGTTTTTTTTTATTTTTATAGTGTTATTAGGCATGTTGAATCAGTAGTCTGCAAGTTTTGCTGATGTGTGGGTTCCAGGAGGCATATACTTAGTTCTGGGCTGGCTTGTTCTGAACTGATTTTCCTATTGCCAAAAACAATATTGGAAAGCCTTATGGATAATTCTTATCTTCAAGTCATAGACCAAGACCCTGCGGGATCAGATTGAGGGTGAAAAAAAAGCATCAGAAACAAACTGGTGTCATAATAGGGGACAAAATCATGACCCTAATTTCAAGAAGTACATGGAATACTGGTTGATTTTTTTGCTGTGATAATATTGGATATAATAATACCTCATATTAAGTAACAGAAGGCAGTCTTCTGTAGACTTACAGTTGACTTGTTCACATCCTTAAAGGACTGAAGTTTTTTACTCATTTGTTTCCAGGGATACTGCAGAAACTCTCTAGGAAAATCAGGTTTGAAAAGAGTAGAGCCTTACCGTCCCCCTGAGTGGTGTTTTCCAGTGTACAGTGATCATGCAGACGGTAATGCCATGGTTGGAATTTTACAACCCTTTTGCATGTTCCGGAAACAACGTGTGAAAAGAGCCATTTAAAGCAAACCTGCTGTCATCTCCAATGCGAAATATGCTAAGATCTGTATCGTACAATGCCATAACACTACAGGTTTGTGAGAAGGTCTGCCAGGGCTCCAACTTCTGTAGTGTGAACAAGAGTTACGGCTTTGTTATAGGTGTAGAAGACCTGTCACAGAATGTGCGCTCAGTCGTAAATTTGATTTTTTTATCCTCCCTTAAGACATTCTTCTTTGCACAGGTGATGTTATCAGTGTCAGAATGTGAATGTGAACAGGGCAGTAGTAATAATGAGTGCCCTGGCTGCTACTGGCCCTGTTGTGAGCAAAGCTGCAAGGATGATGCTGAAATCTGAAAGGTTAGAGTAGTGCTGTTGCTGGCATTGCATTGGTTGCTGAAGTGTAGACTCATTTTCTTAACTTAAGAGTTGTTCTAGTTGTTCTGTGCTGAAGACATAGCAGTAACAGAAGGTTGCAAGTCTGTATGTAAACCCTTAAGTATCCAAGTCTTTTGAAGTTCGCAGTGAAAGGATGCTGTTGCTAGAATGTTGTTTTCCCCTGATAGATGAGCTTCCAACCTTCGGACTAGTGTGACAAAAAATAACACTCTCAAGGTGTACCCCGTGGCTTGTGATGGGAACAAATCCAGCCTCACTTGTTAAACCTTAACTGATGGACTTTATTTTCGAGTGGTGCTGTTACTTGACTCCAGACGTGGAGTTAATATGACCATATTATTAACACTTGCATGAGGTTGGTGGGAAACCTGGCGGTGCCCTGAAGGAATCATATGCTATTGTTCAACTATCAAACTTGTGATGTAAGCAAGGATAAAGTTTGAGTAAACCTTTTCTTCTAAAGCACTTGTCCCACATTCAAAGAATCGATAGAAATGCTGAGCTTTGCACCTTGGTGCTGGCATGAGGGTGTGCAGTTGGTGCTTAATAAAGTAAGATTAAAAAACTGAGAAAAGTAATTGAGATTAAGTATTAAACTGATAAAAGCAAGGAAATCCTGAGAGTACCCACTGTGTACATGCACTGCTCCACTCCCTTCCCTTCAAGCATATGCATCAAAGCAAGTCTTTGTGTGAGCTGAGTCAGGAGCTGTGTCAAGTTATGCCTGGGCTGGAGGACTTGATGTCCCAGTGCACAGCCAGCTTTTCCACTTGTGCTACGAGTCACAGCTGTGCTGTCTGTATTGCAGTCCTCGAGTGTTTCTGTGTGGATGGAGCCATGTTCCATTGCATCTTCCTTCTCACCAATACCCCAGTAATCTTCAGTCTGAATTACAACAGTATCATCTATTTGATCTTGGACAAACGTGAATTAGTATCGGGAGAGCTAGTGTAGGTGGGACTCGGGTGTGTTTCTTTTTTCCTATGTATGTTCTCTGTGAATGCAGGAATACAGGAAGACCGTGAGTGTATGAGACCTCATGATCACCCTTTGTTTTGTTTGAAACACCAGCTGTGGTGATCAACTGCATCTCTTCTTAAGCTTAAGAATTCTTAAATGGTGTGATGCTTTTCAGTCCAGTTCATCTCCTTTTATTGTGTTTCATCACTTCTAATTTGGGTGGCTTGCTGCTCTGATTAATGTTATGTGCGGAGTTGTAACCAAATGTTAGAACCTGAAGCCAGAAGGATTTTTTTGAAATTCATCTCACACTAGATTATGTAAAATATCTGATTTTGTGGACCTTTCTATCCCAGTCCCTTTTGATTTAGTTGAAACCTTTGGTTTGTCCCTCTACAGAACTGCTGTGCAGTAGAGCTGTGTTTCTTATCTTGTCGTGTGGAATAGAACTTCTTTAGTTAAATCCTCTTTTTTTTTTTTTCCTGTTATAAACTTCAGTTGCAAATAGAATTATCTCTAGGATTTCAGTTTTTCTCTTCTGCAGTATTGCTGGTGACATAATGCTTAGTCTGGGAAGGTAATTTTTGTCAGAGTTCTTGTGAAAGATACCATGCAAAATACAGGTTAAGTTGGGTATTAATTGGGAATAACAGTTAAGTCTGTTTTGCCAGTGCAGTTTGTTTTGCAATGTGTTGAGCAGTAGACGGTAGTTAAGGAAAAAGTGGCTTCAGAAAAAGAAACTGAAAACCTCACCCAACAAGTGAAGTAGAAAGGTATGTTCACTCTGTTCAGATTAGTTTAGGTGAAAGTATTATCAGGATTACAGTAAGATAAACAAACTGAAAAAATATCTTCAATTTTATTTTTAGTCTTACTGTCATGGAAAATTCTTAGCAAGAGTTCTAGTGCAATGACAGGTTGGCACTGACTTGGAAAAGCTTGAATAATGATTATTATCTAGTAAAGATGTGAAAAGCTTTTGAAGAGAGGCATCTTGGGTTTTACAATGGAACAACCCCGCTATAAGAAGATAGAAACATTTTTGTACCCCAGAATTTTTCTTTAGCAGATTTATTGGGTTGTCATTATATATATGGTAGCATGTAAGCTGTCCTACAGCTTCATTTCTTATCTGAGTATAATAGGTTGGAATTAAATCTAAATTGAAGTGGCAACTGATTCTAACAGTTGTCTGGTGGCTAATGGTTACTTTAATGTCTCTGTCTTAGGATGTGTTTAAAGATAATAGTACTTTATTATTCTGTAGTGATTCATCTAAGATTGTTTCTAATAAAATATATTGTAGTGTGATATCTAAAGGAGAGGAACAGTCCATTGTGGAACAAACTGTTCAGACAAATTATGGTCATTATAATAAATGCTATGGCATTTGTGGGACTTTTTTACATATAACTTCTTAAAGTCTTACTTTGGTTACTGATAGCTTCATGTGTGTGTCTTGTCAAGAAAACTCTAAAAATCATTATTATTCTCTTCAGTGTTCTTCAGCCAATAAATACTAATTAACTCTTTGAAATGAAGTCCATCTCCTGTGTTACACTGAGTTATATTGCATCTCATTTTTAACTCGAATTTGCAATTGAAAACTGCTAAATCATTTGTACTTAGTCTTTTTGTTGCCCAGGAACTTTCAAGAGGGAAGTGGATTTGTAACCAAACTGTTCAAATGCTGCTGATGTGCAGTTTTTGCTTTTGTTGGGGTCTTCTGATGAGCATCTGAGCTCCATCAAAAACACTCTAATGACCGTTGAAATTTCAGTCATATGTCACTTCACTTCATAGATCATGAGTGGAAATGGAAGGCAGTATAAAAAAAATTGTCCTTAGCAGATCCTTTAGTCTATACTGCAATGATTGGGGAAAGAGGCAACACATTATTGCAGTATAAATGATAACATTGGTTTTGCTAAAGTTGTGTATTTGTCTTTGCTTCATGAGCAATAGTACATAGAGATGCTTCATTGAGTGCAATGAACTGCATGTAAAAATAAATCTTGTAAGTGGGAATCTTCAAAATAGATGTAAAATGCATGTAACATCCTCTTGGAAATTAATGACTGCATTTCAATCTGCTGTTGGGTGATACAGAAAAGAAGACAGTGTTTTCTTTGCCAGTTATAATTTTATGAGGATAATGCTTTTCCTTTAAAAAAAAGTCTGTTGTCCACACTCCCAGCTCTAGATTTGGCTGTTAGTTTGGACTTTTTTAGTAGCCTTTTGGTGTTTGTGTATTGGCTTTTATTATTATTATTATATCAGTTTTGAAAGGTTATGCAACTGAGTTAAAAATATTTCTGTTTTCAGATGTAACATATCAATGAACAGGCTTCTTGATGATTGGAGAGCTGTTGGAAAGCCAGAGTAATGAAATAAACAGTTTCTGGTATCTGTGTAGACCAGCTCCAGCTTCAGGTACTTCAGTGCTCTACTTTGCTGTCTGAAGAATTGGAGGTGAACAAACGGGGCAATCATTGGGAAAGCATTACATTTCTAAGTGGTTTAACTGAGGTGTAGAATTTTCCGTTCATCTAACACTGGGCTATGCAGAGATAAAACCCAGAACTCTCTAGATGTGAAGGCAAGCTGTATGTCCACTTTCCTGAATTCAGTTTTGCCAGAACCATAGTGATTCATAAATGTCTGCTTCTGGCACCTCCAGTATCAAAATGAAGCTGTTTTTTCCTCTCTTGTTCCTGCAATATTGGGATCTGCTAGCAAAAAAAATCTTTGTAAACCCATATATCAAACAAGCATTTTTTTGGTTGAACTGGGGAGAAGGATGCAGAAGAGCAGAGGTGTTTGTAAAATAACTAAGAATGTGGTACAGAGAACAGTAACACAGCACCTGGAATAGACAGCTCATTATTTTGAGGTTTTTGTAGTGCTACCTCAAGTTTTTTGGTCTGGTACTAGGGAAAAGAAGTAATAATTTGCTTTCACTGGGCAGTCTGAGGATGTTAAGAATAAACCCCTTTTATAGGTATCTTCATAAGAAGCTCTCCAAAGGACAGGCATTATCCCTTCTGGTTATTGACACTGCATGCTAAAGCTGAACTGCGTAGTTTGGAAACCAGAACCAATGCGGAAGGTTAGTGAGTATTACAGAGCATTTGAAGAGACTACTGCTTAAGGGTGTTTGCTTAGACTTTTATGATGAATTTCTAGTGGAACTTGTCTTGAGAATGTGCCATCTTGTAGAACCAAATAAAGAGTAACAGCAGCAATTTTGTGAGTTATTGATCGAGTTATTGAGAAAGAACGAGGAAGTAAGGATCGCAAATTACAACATAAAGAGAATGACTCTGAAGCAATTTCAAGGGCCTTATTATCTAGGTAGGTTTTTCCTGTAAACATGTGGACTTTGTTTAGAGGTGTGCAGTTTTGTCTTAGCAAGTTCACAGCACACACTGTGAACTCTATGGGTGCTGAGTTGACATCCATGTAAGAATGGTAGGGACTTCTGTGAACATGGGCTGCTTGTGTCAGCGTCACCAGATTTTTCTGTCACTGAGCTGCTTGCCTGGCCACGTCATGGTACTTAGGACCCTCCTGACTGTTGGAGTCAGCTGCCCATGAGCCATGGAGTACTTCATCTCTCCTTGTCCCCCACCTGCTCTCTGAAATGCATCTTATCTGTATTGCAGCTTTGAGTAATTTTGAGACTTTAGTCTATTATTTAAAGGAAGTTTGAGTACTCTGCTGTGACGGATCTGAAATGAAAAGAGGAAAGCTTTGTAAATTTACCTTGTACTTCTGTTTAAAGATGAGCTTGTTTCATAGCCTAAAAAACCTGGTTTTTACATATCCAGAGCTGAAGAGCACATATGGTCTTAGCTGATGTGAGAACTGTTTTTTCGTGATTTTGTGGATTGTATGTGTACTTGTTTGGAGAGCAGATGATTCCCTCTTCATCAGTGACTCTGCTACAAGGCCTCTCTTAGGAACACAGCTATGAGTGAAAAACACCTACCCAAAGATGATACAAACCCATGTCTTGTTGAGTGGAGCTGACATAATTGACTGCTACTGTCCATTATATTATGTAATGTGTGGTTGAATGTGTCTCATGTACAGTGAACTGCATTTACTGTATTAACTTCCTGTTACTCCCCTTTCAGAAGGTTTTGTGCCTCAGGGTCACTTATCTCAATGCTCTTTGCTATTTTCAACCCTGGGTTGAACAAGGTTTTGTGTGTGCACACACCCATGAAGCCTCTCTCTCTGCAGTATTTTTAAGCTTTGTAGCATACTTTTTTTTTTCTTTTAAAGCAGTAATTTTTATTTCTGAGGACCATGACCATCAATCTGTTTGCTTACAGAACCACCCCAGGCACACACTTCTGTCATTCTTTAATCTCTTTGTTGTAAAAGAGCCCCACTGCGATAGTTACTAGGTGACAAGGCACACACTTTATTTTTTCCCCTTGTTGTTAGTGAGTTCTTCTAGACAGCCTCACCTCAACAAATGCTTCCTGTAGTTATAATTTGTTATGTTTCTTTAGATGTCCTCTTGCATGTATTTTAAAATTGGCTGAAGCAAAATAATTTCCTCCTTGCCTATTTACAAGTTAAGTGTTCATACTTTAGGTCAAACTATCTATTTTATGAAATTAAAAGTTAGAGTTAATAGGGAAGTCCTTTGTAGTCAGGGATTTAAAAGAATCATGTTTGCATTGAATAGGAAGATTGAAAAGACAGGCAGTTTGAAATGACATAATATTGAATTAAAATGTACCAGATGCTCAGCACGTGCCTGTACTCACAGGATAGCAGGCTACAGTTGGGACAGGTTGTGTTCCTAATTAGATCTGTGCAGACAGTCGAAAGCATATAGGGAATTGCTTTCATCATGAATTACCTTTCAGTGGCTGGGAATTAGCAGTAGTGGAATGGAGGAGGGGGGAGAAGGATTTTCAACCGGTACAGTGGACGAGCAGGCAAGGATGAGGGTGTCAATGGCTTTCCTAAAAAGTAGGAGTGTATGTACTTTTCAGCAGAGGAAAGGGGAGGATTGACTGTTGCAGACACTACTTTTCTCTGTGCCAGTGAATGGACTCTGAAGTGAGAATTCACTGTTAAAGCATAACCTTCTCTGTACTGCTGCTGAAGGTGGCTACAGGAAATATTTTTCTTCTTTTTTTTTTTTTTTTTGCATCTTATAGAACCATGTATCAAGATTTTTGATGTTCTACCAAGGTAATCAATACTTATGTTGTAGAAGATACTTTCTTGAAGAGCTTAAATGAATGGTTGTCACATTTGTTGCTATTTTTATCATTTGGTTAGCTATTAATAGAGGATGCTTATATTGTGTAACAAAGGAAGTGAATGAAAAAATTGCTATTTCCTTAGTATTTGCATTCCCTTACGTACCTGTGAGACCTTTCTGTCTTAGAAAGCTGTTGTGTTGTCCACTTAATGTATTGGCAGGCTCTCTGCTCCCTGCTTTTGATTCCAGTCACTTGTGCTATCAGCAGTTCAGCAGATAAGCACATCTCAATTTAAGTAGCATGATAAATGGTTGTAACCCTTGCCAGTACCAGCCTTTAATGTTTTGTGTCCTGTGGCTGCTGTTTAACTACTTATCCATTTTAAATTTTACTTTAGGACTTGGAGATCCTATGTGCTGATGCAGATTTAAACTCTAGTTTTGTGAGTAATGAGGAAAAGTATATATGGGCGTTGCATCTTTGAAGAACATATCTATGATGAGAGAAAACAGTATATCTTCAAGAAAAAGGCAAAGTTTTGCTTTCGAAGGGTACAGTCTGTATTCTGATGTATATATACAGGGAGATGTTTTGTTCGCTTGTGAAAATGCGGCCCGAGGGCCCATTAATCTGCAAAGTGAGTCTGTCTGAGCTGTGCTCCTGTTCCTCATTCTCTGCTGCTCACATCACCACATTTTCAGTTGCTGCGTTTCCACTCGCTTTGGTTTTTGTTGCTGCACTGTGGGAAAACACAGCCGGCTGTGTCCTCAGCTGTGGAATAGGGGCAGGGACACGGGGAAGGTGTGTTAGAGTGTCAAACTAATTGTGAGCTGTAAATCAGAGAGGAGGAGGAGGACTGGTCAGACCAGTTTGTTTGAGTGCAAAGAGTCCTGTCACAGCAGCAGCAAAGTGTTACAGGCCGGTGACAGAAAGCTTTTCACATGCTGCACTAGATGGATGGAAGTTATTCACGGTATGTGAGCAAGCAAGCTTGGGCTGGGCTGATCTCAAAATGCCAGTTGGAGAAGTTCCTGCTCGGGCTTTTAACCTGACCTGGTGGTGATTACATTATCTGTGGCATAGGGAGCAGAAGGGACATACACTGTGAGGGTGAGGGCATTAGGAACAAGACACTTGTGCTGTATTGTTAAGATGAACATCAGCCCTGAGGAAGGAGCAGAGCAGGTGGTTGAAGGTGAAAGCTTAGCAAAACAGTGCAAGAAGGTCATCCAGTGCTCACCTGGCACTTTGCTGTCAATCAACACACTGTGTGCTTGTTTGATGTTTGAACATATCATTACATAAACTAGTTCACTTGCTTGAGTCAAGATTTGCCTTTTTTGATTGTTTTTGATGCCTTCTGAAAATCACATAACAGGCACTAAACTATTGTGTTTTCTTAAAGTGCAATATTACTTAACCTTAGTACTTTCCTGATTTTGGAAAAATCATTTGTAAGGCTGAGTAGGATGATAGACAATTGATATTAAACCTGGAAAGGCATGGAGCTGCTATCAAATGTGTAGCTGGTGTCCAAATAGTATCTGCAACTTGCTATATTTGTGTGTTTGATGTAAAACAGTCAGATATTAGCATGTCTCATTTCAGCTAGCTACTGCTAGGCTGGCAGTGTTGATCCTTTTAAGCTTCTTTCACACAAAACCTTTTGCTTACAAAACCATGAGCCTTTCCTTTAGTAGAATTACTGCAGTTTTCTGTCTCTGGCATTACAGAGGAGGTATCTGCTATACTCAGTTGCCTCAGGGAGGCACAACAAACTTTGGATGCTCAAGAGACATTTGAATATCAATGTGAACTTGCACTGCTCCACATGATGTCTTTGTCTGGAAGTTTCTGATGTGAATATAAATTGTGATCCTGTGGTCAACTGTTAAGTTCAGTTTCTGTTTAAAAGTTAGTAATTAGAATGCAAAAAATAATACTATTCAGTGACAGTAGGAAAAAAAAATCTATGTATGTCATGAACAGATTCAGATAGATTTGAACAGATAAGTCTAAAATGCAGTGTATTAGAATCAGAAAGACTGGGAACTTAATGTGGTAAATTTTATTCTAGGTGCTATTGAAAATTCAAGTAGGACTGTAGGGAACACTGAATCATAATTTACTTTTCACGCTTTAACCAGTTGATATAATCACTGCTCAAATTCTTACATTGATACAAAACCTGCGCTTTATTTATGATTGATATTAACTGTAAGCTATTATGGATATAGAGTAGGTGGCTTTTTTTTTTTTTTGCTCTGTGACTAATTGAGTTGTGCAAATAATTGTATTTCTGCTTCCATGTAGATTAATCTTTCTCTTTAATTCACAGTGTTGTTTATGGAAGGAAGTAACACAATAAGAAAACATAGCGACCTCCCTAATGTGCTCTCTTAACAGGGGTATATTTTTCACTTGTTACTTTCAGATGAAGATAAACCACCCAGTTTGCTGACTGGAGGGGAAATTTTATGTATAACAACCAACATAGAAGTTCATGTATCTGATTCTACCACTTTTTTCTTGTGGAAGTGGTGAACTGCAGCAACTGGGCAGTCATGAGCAGGGTTGAGGCAGTAGTACATCAAACAACTACATGTTTTTGGAGATTTTATAACGCTTTAGAAGATACTTTATAAAAGGCTTAAAATAAGCTAAAAACCCCTCTGATCATTCTACAGAAAGCATCAGCAAGAACTTAGACTGGAGTAACTGCTATGGAAAAAAATACCTCAGTACCTCAGCTTTATGCTAATATAATAGTTCTTTTACAGCTGAATGGATAATAAACTACCTATGACGAGAGGGAACACTTACTAGAAGGTGAAATTTTCTTCCATCTTAACTGTATCATTTGCAAATTATCTTATGGTTATAGACTGTATTAAGTGCACCAGTCTCAAAGCATTGCTTTTTACTGGCTTTTTAATTAAGTAGGACCTAACGTGTTCTGCTACTATGAAACTGAGCATAACTGCAAAAAAAAGTATTCATTCTTTTGATTACACATTGAGATTGTCAGTTGGGTTTTTTTGTTGTTTTAGAATATCAGTAGTGTACACTGTGAGCTTTCATTATTAGCAGAAGTTACCAGAGATTAGATAGGTTCCAAAAGAGTGTTTGTTTGGACTGCACAAACCAAGTAGATGGATTTCTTGTCTCCAGTGTTGACCTTAAACATAAATCGTTTGAAGCAAAGAGGAATCAAGGATTTTATTAATTATTGGAGATGTGTTTGTAAAATTCTCTCATTCCCCTTCTCTATTCTCATTTGTACCTGTCCCTTACTATTTGTTCATGTTGATTTATATGGAGTTAGAGATTGTGGCATTGAGGTTTTTTGCTTTGAAACCAAAAAGGAAAAGTGGTTTGCATGTTACTTAATAAATGTTTAATTCTTGTTTGATTACTTGTGACTCTTGTCCAGTCATGACATGTTCCCTTTCGTACTCTCAGCCATATGCTCAGTTTTTGCAAATGCTTTTCTCTTGTTGATTAAGTGGCAGTTGTAGCTCAGCTGTTGGTTTCAGATCTTGGTGGTAGATGTTTTGTGTGATGGTATTTTCTGGTAGAAACAGCTGGGCTGAAGGTGCTGCTTTCTTTCCTTAGCTGATTTCTATACCTAACAGTGCAAGGTCATAGTGGTAACAATTAGTGACAGACCTAATGGGACCTACTTATCCTTCTGCTTTAGTGGTGAGCCTTAGTATGGAATGCTGGCTGATAAGGCAGGACTAGGGCGAGTGGAGCCAAGCAGTACAAAGGGGTTTCCTTTCAGACTGAGGCAAAGGGCACGGAGCATGGAGCTGAGTGACTTGGATTGTGTGGCTGTGTGAGGGAGAGCTGAACAAATGAGAAAGCAAGGGTGAAAACAAGTTTGATGTTGCAAGGTGGCAAGGTTACTGCTTTCTTTGAGACAACTGTTGGAATAGCAGAGTTGAATTTATAAATGAAGAATTTGCTTTGTTTTTAAATAGCCTAATTTATCCATTATAGGGGGATAGGGTTGCATTTAAAAGTTAGGATTGCTGTAATGAATTTCTCCTAATGGAAATAAGGGCTTCTTGTGCTTGCTAAAATTGCCAGTAGTCTTACCAGGCACCCGACCATCTGGAAATCCTGAAAAAGAAGATACAGTGTTATACTCAGGCTCTTCCATAAGTGTTCTGGCTATTGGCATCTCAAGATGGTGTCCTATTAGTAGAACACTTTCTGCAGAGCTTTTCAAGTCTTCTAATATTTGCTTTGCAAGCTACTTTTTGAGAGAGCAGATCTGCCACAGACCATCTGTGCTCTTCCACAGGGGATTTTGGTTTCTTGAAAGTAGATGGGAAAAGAGAATCTCACCCCCATCCTCCCCCAGTCCTTTCCCTTGGGTTCCTGGGTACACACACAGTTGCTGTATGACTGCTGAGTGAGGATGTGACAGTAAGGAAGTTGAATATTCTGGCTGGCTGTGGGGGGAGGTCACCCTATGTTGTAAAAATGAGTAAGTCAAGACATATTGTTACTTTCAAATAATTTGTAGGAAAGTGAAAGCTGTAATGACTTTTTTTGTCATTTTATGTCTGAAGTGCTTTTTCAGAGGTGATTACTTGGAATTTTTGTGGATTTAAATGGTAGAATTATTAATTCTAAAAATCTGGTGTTTTTATTGTCTTGGCATTTACTGTTTCACTAATTGCTGTTTGTTATCCCTGATTTCTCACCTTGTTTTAGAAAAACTTAATATTGGAGCATTTACTTAAAGTTGTGCTGAAAGAGCAACAAACTCTGCATAACACTTAACATAACGCTTTGAATTTTACTTATAAAGTAGCCTTTATCTCCCCTCAGTCTCTTTTGGTTGTGAATATAATATGTTGTGTAATATGAATCCTACATCTAGATTTCTGAAGGAAGATTATGGAGGAACATTTACCGGAAATGCAAAGCACACTGGAGTCAGTCAGTCTGTCGGATGATGCCTCTTTCAAGACCCCAGATAATGAGAAGTGTGATAAAACATCTGGAATGGAGGACTGCTCAAGCATCAGTTATACTGGAGATGTTGCTAGTGTCTTGGAAAGGGAATCGAATTTGCCCTCAGATCAGGATTCAGCAGCTGTTGGCATAAGCAGCAATGGGGGCCCAACAGAAGGAGAGCAGCAGAGTGGAGGGACAGACTGCTGTGCCAATACCTGCTGTGAAAGAAAGGTAGAAGGCTCCACGAAAACAGAACATTTACCTACTGAAGAACTTGAACAACACAATCCAAAAATTAACCAGACTGAACAATCATTAATGGAAATATTACAGGATCTAAGGGAGGAGTCTGACTTTGTGAAAAAATCAAGCGATAAAATCTATTTAGAAAGCCCTTTTGACACAGACTGCACAAAGAAGCTTATTTCCACAATACATCAGACTTCCTCACAGGAGGATTTGCTAAAGGAAATAGAATCTGAACTCTTATCCACGGATTTTTCAAAGGAGCGAAAACTCCCAAACGGTGTGCAGAAGGGTGAACATGCCTTGGCTGTGTTTGAAAAATGTGTGCAAGACAAATACCTGCAGCAAGAACAAACTATAAAAAAGTGAGTATTTGAGTATGCTCATCACAGTTGAAGGTTTGTACTGAACAATTTCGGCTGTGTGTTGTATGCAACTGCATATAACATTTTGATATGAAGCAAATTGTCTCTTGAGTTGTTAAAAAGATAGTTAATGAGCTTTTTCTAATTATATTCTCTAAGCGAGGAGTTATTTTTACTTGTGGTATGTACTTGTAAATAAGAGCGTGTGCTTAGATATCTGAATTCTGGCAGAATTTGGCAGGAACTGAATAGCCAACTGTGTCATTGAATAGCCTGCCAATGTCTAGAATTGCTTAAATACTGTAAAAGTAATGGCGAAATACAGATAGTCCAGTGCATATGTGTCTCGGGAGAAATGAATCTTTGTAAGTACTAACTCCCACAATGTGCATTTTATTTATGTTTGAAATTGCCTGTTTCCTTTTCAAGTAATATTCAATCTCTTGTCATAATCCAGCAAAGCTGTTAATCAGCTGAGAACTATTCTTTGAGTTGGAAGTGTCATATATAGATGAACCAATGTCTTCCCACATTTTATTGGACAGCTTCTGAAGTACATGGCTTATAAACTTTGCTGTAATGATCTGGGCTTAGTAGTTCTACCAGACAGTGTGTACAACATGAAGAATATTTCTGTTCATCAAAAGCTTGATTTCATGATCCCTTACTTGGTGTTTCATGTTTTGTTACCTCCTTAAAAATGTTTGGGTGTTTTTGCTAACAAAATGTAGCCTCTAATTTCATATTTATTCCTTTTCCCGGAGCTGGAAATGAGTGTCCTGCTTTTCATATAAAACTCTCAAATACCATGATATGGGAGGACATCAGAAGAAGGGAAACCAGATAGAGGGAGAGTCCCAATAGGGAAAATGTTCTCTTACACTTCACCAGTTAACCTGAGAAATCATAAATGTGAGGAAAGTCAATTGATGACAGGAAGGCATGAGAATGCACAGTTAGACACTGAGTAGTTACAGAGGAGGAGTGGGAATCTGAAGTGATGGGTGTGTAAATAGTTGTAATTCCAGGAGTTCATGAGGTAATGAGTTTTACTTGTTTAAGGTAAACTCAGACAGGTCAGCATTTTCAGCCGTAGACCAATTACTTCCTTAAAGGCAACTGTTTATGTATATATGTACATGTTATGTATACACACAGAAGGCTTTTTATATAAATATATGTTTGGTCTCTCCAGCTGAACTCATTTGACTCTTGAGGTCACCTGAAGGGTGTAAAAGTGCTGTGGAATATGTCATGGTTGGTCCAAAGAGTATTCTGGGTTGTGTTTATTTTGTCCCTGACTTTATGATCAGCAGAATTTTTTGTAACATTGTTCTGAAAATAGCCAAGTTCTCTCCTATGATCAGATCTAAATATATATGTGAGCAGCTATGGCATAAATTAAGAATTTGTAATCCTGGAATATTCATTAATAGATCAAAACCAGATCACAGGTGCTAAGCTGTCTTTCACTGGTTTCTACTTCCTTATAATTTAGGAGATTAGTTTGTTTAGAGAATTTTGGTTTTCAACAGAGTGGAGCTAAAGATGAAAATATATGTGTAAAGGGATATTTAAATATTTTCTCTCAGGTAAATGCATGCCTTCCACAAATTCATGCAGTTAGTGGTCTAAAATACCCACCATCTAACAGATCTGCAAACATGTAAATATATTTGAGACCTTTTATTCTGCAGTTCTGATAATGTAACTTCTGAGTTTTATGCTAGAAGGTCAAACTAGGTATGTGGTGGCTTCAAACAGCTGAGCTAAACTGGAACTATTGCTAAAAATTGAATTTTATAAGGAGCATGAGCATGACACTTGTTATATACCTACTTAGGACTTAAAAGAATCAGGATTCCATTTCTTACTAGGCTGTGAACTTCCAGGGGCACTCTGGGTACTGTTCACTTCATTAAGTGAATAAAATCTCTGTGTTTGCAGACATTTGACTGGTGGAACTGTCTGACTGGAACTTACTGTCTTACATGTACCTTAAAATTACCAACGTGGATAACTCTGGAGTTTCAGAGAGTTACCAGATGTCTCATGTCATCTGTATCACAACAACTCCAAAATGCTGGAAACAAGCAATTTCCTCACAAGGAAGATGCTGTTTGCTGGTTTGGAGTTAAGTTTCACAGGCATAAAATTATTCTGAGGGTTTTTTTGTAAGGCTTTCATGAATTTTATTAGGATTTCTGGCTTCCCAATAAAATTTGCAGATCGAAGAGCAAAAATCATGTATCTCAAAACCGAAAACAAACAACAAAAAACCTGATGTACTTTGTTTTTAATTTCTTCTTTTTTTCTTTTTCTTTACAGATTGATTAAAGAAAATAAAAAACATCAGGAACTGATTTTGGAAATTTGCTCAGAAAAGGACAACTTAAAAGATGAGCTGAAAAAACGAACAGAAACAGAAAAGCAGCACCTCAGCATTATTAAGCAGGTACAGATAACAAAACAGAAGTGCTGGTTAGTATCTCACCTGTATATAGTGTCACTGTTGCCACTGTTTAATAAGACATGATCCCTGGTAGCACAAAGAAGGAAGGGATGCCAGTGCATATTATTCTGAACTTTTTAAGAGGATAATTCTGCTCTTCTATTTCAAGAAATTGTTTGAAAGCCTTTAGTGTCTTTGGATAAACTGACTTTGTATACAAGCATTTCCTCAGGGACTTGTTAGAACCACGAAAGGCCAAAGAGGAACATGGTGTGTGCATTGGTGTGGGCTGGTTTCAGTGCGGGAATAAAAGGTATCACATCAGGTGTTACAAACCTATCTGCTGATATCCCTACAGTTGGTTGGCCAGCTGATTACAGATTGTATCTTGGAAATCTGGCAAGAGATAGTATTTAAAATACTAATTTCTGTTTGTCAAAGTAGTGGTGACTATCCTGGTTGTCAGGTTTCTCTGTTAATGTCTGCATCACACAGAAATCTGTTCACAAAACAGTTGTCAGGCTTATAGTTCTAGAGGAATATATTAATGTGTCTAGAAGCTTAGTCTGTCTGTAGTTTGCTTAATTTCAAAGAGTCTTTGAAAATCCGTGATGTGATTGAAAATGGAATTGAAAGATCTTATTTTTAGGCTACTAATTAGAGTGCCTGAATAAATCAGTATGAGCAGCTCACTCATTTTCTTTAGTCTGTATTTCCATGATAGCACTGTATGATTTCATGAAGGTATATCATGCAGCAATTGCTTTATCCCATTCTGAAAAAAAGCATTTGTGAGGGAGTTTGTCATATTACATGCTTGCAAGAAATTTCAGAAAATATTGTCTTGGAGTGTAATAGTTTTATATGGTGGTTGGATAGCGCCTGGAATTGTAAGATACATTGCTGTGATACACTTGAGTTTTCTCATTTGTGATTGTGAGTGTTTTATTGTTCGAATTTCTGAATTAGTGTTTTCTGATAACGTTCAAGTAAATGAAAGCTTGGCTGCACTAGCAGCTCCAAGCAAACTGTGCATGCTTTTATGTGTAAAACTTCTTGTATGGTCAGTGATGAATTTGAAAAGCTGAACAGAGTGTGATCAGGTCATGGTGCAGTAACAGAAGCATTTTAGGTGGTTCTTGCCTGTTATGTAGCAGCTTGGAATTGCACAAAAATGTAAGACACTGACCCTGAGATCTTGCCCCTTCTCTCCCCAAGCAAACAAAACCCCATAATCTTGGTGAGTTGGCTTTCCCCTGGGACAAGGGGATAATCTTTAGGCACAATTTGAACGAGGTTTGGGCAGTATCACAGCTTTATGTAGCTACCATGCTGCTCCTACTGGACTTGCATGACTTGGCAGCGAACACGTTCTGGGAAGTGTTCCAGTTAACGTGGGTAATTATTCTTCATCCTGATAGGTCTCTGATTTGGTTCACTAGGTGGCTAAAAAGAGTGCCAGCACAATGACTAGGGTTCTCTTCATTTGCTGAGTTATTTTTCAATGAATTAATTCCCAGTCCAGTTCAGTATGGATGCATGGCTGCTTTGCTGGCAAGGTGAAGGATATGGCACAAGGAATAGGAACAAAAAAAGGGTGGAAGGTGAAGCAACTTCAGATAGCAGCCAGCTCTGCTCTGGCATCTCAGCACTTGCTGTCAATCTGGTTTTTTGTGTAGTAAATTACCGTGCCTTGTGTTTTACTTGATTTGATGCATCTTCAGTCTCACTGAAGATGAGAAGTGACATCTTTCATGCTTGTTCTGTCATGCAAAAGTAGATGTTGATATGGGTAGTTGCATCTTGACAAGTGTAAAATACAGGTAAATATCTGTTGAAGCATCTAATTTTGTGTGAAATGTTCCTGCCTGTATAAAACATGATCAAAGTGTTATTTTCCCTGTAATTATATCATAATGTTGTCTTTCAGCTGGAAGCAAGAATAGAAGAGCTTAATAAAGAAGTGAAAGCTAGTAAAGACAAACTTTTAACTCAGGATGCAGCAGCCAAAAATACTATTCAACAGTTGCATAAGGAGATGGCCTTTCGAATGGAACAGGTGATATAGAAAACCTTAAATTATTGAAAGTCTAATGAAAGAACTTGGTTCTTGTAGGAAGCATGTTGGATCACTCGGTAGGGCAAAATTTTCCAAAATTGGAATTAGAGTTAAACATACATTTTTTATAACTGGTATCAGTGAATTTCCAAATAGCAGTTAACACTATAGAGAGCCTGATAACTTTTTAAAAATTTGTATTTTTATAGGTATGGAATTTAGCCCTCAAGGAAATCTCATTTTTCTTACCTCTAAGCTGAATTTGATTCAAAAGGAGCTAAAAGCTGGAAGTAGCTTTTTTCAGACAGGCTATCAAAAATTTAATATTTTTCTCAACTCCAGCACAAAGCTGTTATTTTGTCTTTATGTATTACTGAGTTTTTTTTTTCCTTTCTTCATATCATATTATGCCAGTATTTTCTCTGTTGAATGTATTCTGAAGCTTGGTATGTGATTTATTTTTTTTTCCCTAATTTGAAACAGAATTTGTTAGTGCTGGGGTGAAGGGAATCTATAAAAATAAGTCACTGAAAGTAAGCCATCTGCAATATAGTCCACTGGAAAATGATTGTGCAGTTGGCATGTGGATGAGGGAAGACAGAGGACTGGTACTGAGTCTTTGCAAAATTATTTTATTACTAAAACTTCCCAAATACACTTCCTTCCTTCTGAAACAACAAATTATATACCAAATTATTGATGTATTGATAACTCACTTGAGATGTTTAGCTGTGAAGCTGCAGCTCCTTAGACACATATTCATCATTAGAAGTATGTGTCATTGCAGTGCTTAAGAGGGATCTAATGGTAATCTTTGCAAAACTGGAGTTTTTGAGTCCTGCCTTATTATACTACTCTACTGCAATACTGAAAATATCCAGTAGTGTCTTACAAAAGTTAATTATGAAATACAAGAATGATTCATTCTGTTTTGGTATTTTTCAAGGCAAACAAGAAATGTGAGGAAGCACGCCATGAGAAGGAAACAATGGTGATGAAATACGTCCGAGGGGAGAAGGAGTCACTTGACCTCCGGAAAGAAAAGGAGATCCTTGAGAGAAAAGTGAGAGATGCAAACAAAGAAATAGAAAAGCATACTAATAAAATCAAACAACTTTCTCAGGAAAAAGGAAGATTGCACCAGCTCTATGAAACTAAGGTACGCTAAGTTTTGCTGTAGGACTGGAGTGAATGATTAAAAGCGCTGTCAGAACAACCTTATCACTTGTTTGCTCTTGTAGTTGGTGAAAGAAACCTGCTTTCATTTGGTTTTGCTGTATAGCTGTGAAAGCACCTTTCCTCCGAGTGAAGGGGAAGAAGTTACTGAGTTCTCATTGTCATCTTTTTGAAGTTCCTTTTAATATTTCCCTGAATATTAGTTTGTGAAACTTTACGGATATTTTTTTTTTTTTTTTTTACAAAATTGAAAAGACTATTTGTTGCAGATGTCTAGATATTGAGGTAATTTCTAGGTTGTTTGGATTTTTTCTAAAGGCTGCAATGCCATTAAATTATTGCAGTCTTTTTTTGCTGTTTTTCCGTGTTTAAACTCTGGACGACTTCTTTTGTAATACTAAAAAGTAATAATAAAGCAATAGGATTTTTCAGGCCCAATTCCAAAAATCTGCCTTTTTTTTGTTTTTAGAAAGCAGTGACAGAAAACTATTAAAGTATTCACTTCTTTTTTTATTGTGCTTCACAGCTGTGTTTTGCAATTCTGTTTCATCTGAAAGATCCAAAAATTGATAAATGACTAGTCATCAAACTTATATTTGGGCCTCTTCTGAGCAATTGTAATATGCACTGAAGGATACCTCCTAATAAAAGTACTAAAAACTATGCTTCTGAAACAAAAAAAAAATCACCTTTGTGTTCTCTCTCACATGACTAGGAAGTTGGGAGCATGACTTCAGGTTTACCAAACAGAACTTAACATACTGTCTATGTTTGTAATTCCTGATGGTTACACTAGAGCTCTACAGGAATTGTGCTGCTTGAAACTCTATTTGTAGGATGAGAGTATTACTTCAGGAATAGTTAAGAAATTTGGCTTAATGCAGTAGTTTGTGGATACTGATGATCTAGAAGGCTACACCAGCAGTGTGTTTGTTAACATCCTTTCTTGGCACAGGTTACTGATTTGACTTGCAGAGGTTTTGCTGTCAGTGCTCACACGCCTGCACCCGCATAGTTGGTAACACCATTTCACTGGCATCATGATTTTTGTCTGTAGCCTTGTTTAATGTATGACCTTACCACTTTGAACCTCATCCTTTTGCAAAAAAAAAAAAAGAACAAAAAGAGGACTGTGCAGCTTTCACAAGAAATATTGGAGATCAGAACTACAGACTGTGCTTTGTCTTTTGACAGATATTTAACGTTAACATACACTAACACTAATGCAACCTTACCTTGGTATTCGAACCAAAGCACTATTTTGGGTTTTTTTTTTTCCCCTGGATTATGGACCACAGCATTATTGGGCATTCTCAAACATGTGCATGATTTTGCAAAATCCAGACATTAAGGAAAAAAACCCAGCTTGACACTTAAACAGGAGTCTTGTTGTAGGAACACTGGATGATTTAAATCAAAATAAAACCTACGACATTTTTGTAGGATGGTGAAGCCACTCGACTCAACAGAGAAATAGAAAAGTTGAAAGAAGAAATCAATTCTCATGTTATCAAAGTAAAATGGGCTCAGAACAAATTGAAAACAGAAATGGATTCACACAAGGTCAGTGAAGCGGTGCTGATACCATGACATGAAAATATAGTCAGAGTAATGTAGTTGTTATACTGTTTATTATTTATATGGTATTAAAATCTATTTTAAAGTGTTTTTTGTTTAATTTGAATGCCTGCAGCAAGAGGCAGAATAGTGCTCTGAGAGATACTGATACTGAAATGGAAATGTTGAAAGGATGTGAGGGGAGTATGTATGGGAGATTCTGTTTAATCCGATGATAAACTTTTAATTTCTTGTCGGGGCGTTTTTTGTTTGAATTAACTGTCATCTTTGTTTAGTTTTTAAGAGATAGAGTTAAATCTATCATCTGAAAATCTATCATCTTGGAACACAAGCAAGAGATCATTTTGTTGTGCTTTCAGTGTTGGGACAAGTGAAATTGCATAAAGCAATAGTTGAATGGAAACAAGAGGAAAAGTAATGTTAGACTCTTTGTTTTGTTAATTCTTTCCAGACTGAAATAGGAAAGTTTTATTATGAGAAATTTTCTTCCTAGATTAATTAGATAAACAGGTTTAACTGGGTTTAACCCATTCTTTATTACTCTTTTTATAGGAAACAAAAGAACGTCTTAAAGATGCAATGACAAAATTAACAGAAGCAAAAGAAGAAGCAGATCAGATAAGGATAAACTGTCAAGAAATGATAAAATCCTATCAAGTAGGTACACTTTCTCAGGAGGTCAAATTAATGTTTAGTGTCTGAGTCTTCTTTTTCGTCCATTTCTATCTTAGGCTGTAGCAGGGAAGAATTATCATGTGCAAGCCACAAACTGAGATGAATAGTGCCTGGTTTCTTTACTGGAAAGTTGTTGAATAAAAGGGAAAATGTTTGTCTTGATTGGTATGTGGCGTGGGGGTCTCTCTTGGCACGTTCAGGATAATTAGATATGTATCTGCAGGAAAGACTTAAGTGATATGAAAAGCTGTCTGTACACTCATAGTATTAGAAATGAGAACATAGAGCTCTAAAACTCTACATATATTTCTCAATCCCTTTAGGAATCAGAAGAAATTAAATCAAATGAATTGGATGGAAAACTCCGAGTAACTAAAGGAGAACTCGAGAAACAAATTCAGGAGAAGTCTGATCACCTGGAGGTAAATATGTGGTGTGTGGAGTCCACACAATTGGTAACTTAGTAGTTAAGAATTCCATGAGATTTTAGTTTTGAGAATCTTATTTTAAGCTGCTTACATTTTCGCCAAACTCTTTGGTTTGGAGTTGTTGGGTTCTTTTGGCCTAATACTACATTCCAGGTGTCTGCCTCCAGCACTGCTTTTAGGAGGATGTTTTCAGATACTACCTTGGATTAACTTTTTAAAATGAGATTTAGGAGAAAAATGTGGTATAATGAACATGAAATATATGCTCTTTCATTTATAAACATGAATGTTGCTGTAATTTAAAGCACAAATTCAGATGATAGGCAGGCCTTTGTCTGACCAATATTTTGGCAAGTTATATGGCAAGGAGAGAAAAGGAACAACCTCTGTTCTGTGAAGAGATTTGCTAATCTAACAGTGAAATTCTCTAATGATGTAGTACCTGCTCACAGCTCAAATATGCATATGCCATCTTCAGTACTGACCAAGTGTCAGTTTGCCTGGAACTTTCCCCAGGGGCTGTTGTGGCATAGACATCTGGTTTTAGCCATTTGTATACTTAAAACCAGTGTGTGTAATCTCTTTTCTTCTCAGTTCAGAGAATAAAGAAACTTGAGGTTTTGCTTTGCTTTTTGAAGACATAAACCAACCCTTTGGGTTACCTGTGCTGCCTCAAGCCTCCTCAGCTTTTGGAATGGCCTATATTGGCCTAGATTTTCTTGAGGTGCCATTGTACATTTAGTTTTCTCAATGAACTTTTCACCCTTTAAAAAGGTGCATCATGCCAAAATAAAAGAACTGGAAGACCTGAAGAGAACGTTTAAGGAAGGCATGGATGAGCTTCGGACACTGAGAACAAAGGTAACGTGTGCTGTGCTGGATTGCAGTGGGGCTGAAGCACAGTGTTGAGTTTTGGAACAAGACTACATTCAGTCTCTTAATGGTACTTCTACTGGCTGGCATGAGACTAGAAGTCTCATATGGCCTCTGGTAAGGAGTATATGCTGTCTATAACTTGTGGGCAGTCTGTAGATTAGCGTGTCAGTCACTTTATCCAGAACGGGGAATTTAGCTCAGTAGGACTGCAGGAAAAGGAAGGAAATAAGGGGTTGGCTTGGTAACTGGAGAAAGATGATGTCTGTGGATCCATTAGGCTGGTAAATTTGAGTCTTTGGACCAAACTAACATTAATCACACTTGTTTCATTTTTTGTTTTGTTTTGTTTATTTTTCTGACTGTATTTGATATGAAATATTTTGGGATATTGCTCTAAGCTACTTGGAACCACCAAAAAATTAACACGTGAGCTTTTTACAGCAGTCTAGACATACTATCAGAATAATTTACCTCTGAAGTTTCTGAGACTAAATAGTTTCTGATTTTTTTTTTTTCTGTTTAGGTAAAGTGTCTAGAGGATGAGCGTTTAAGAACAGAAGACGAATTATCCAAGTATAAAGAAATAATAAATAGACAGAAAACTGAAATTCAGAATTTACTGGACAGAGTCAAAACTGTAGATCACCTACAGGATCAACATCAGAGGTATAGCTGTGCCTTTGAGTAATGACTTAAAAGATTATCTGAGATGTGGAAGTGTTTTCTTTATTGAAGTTATTGATGCTTTAAAATGGATTGTAATCTGAAGAATTCCTGTCCTAATTTAAGTGTTTTCCTAATTTAAATCAATATTCGTAATACTTGAGATTAACCTTGGTGGTCTCTTATAAAACAAGGGGATTGAGATTGATAAATCTAATTCAGTGTCTTTCATTATTAGTATAAGTGCTTGATTTCCAGCATAGGAAGTCAGGCCTTTCAGGTGTCTGCCAAGTGCTTGTTTTATTGAAAGACTGGAGAGAACCAACTAAACTGGGAAATAGATTGCTTCACAAATGTGCAGTTGTGATGGATGAAGAAAAGGATTTAATGAAAAGAATTTTATGTATTTGACAGATGCTGCATTCAGACAGTATGGAGCACTTGTATTTCTAATGGACTGGAATTCATTCTGCTGTGTCAAAGTTTGCTCATTTAAGAATGTGAGGGAAATAATCTCAGAGAAGGATTGGGCTCATGCACAGTTCAGGTGTGTGAGCATAGTCATGTGTGGTACATATGGACCAGGATATACAAATGCTCTCCACTCTGCTGGTTCTAGCGGTGTTGCATACATAGATAGAGATATAGATAAATGTCAGCTAAGATATAGAGATAGATAAATGTCAGCTAAGCAGAAACACCTGCATGTGTTCCTCTTGTGCTGTTAAACAATTCTCATTTATCACTGAAAAACACTTCAGTAATTATAGGCCTTCCTAAGGGTTTAGACAATTAAACTGTTTCCATTTACTGTGTGCTGGTCAGCTGTATTGTCACCATGTCATCAGCCTTTCTAGGGAAACTGCAATGAATGAGAGGCAACTGAAGCCTACACTTGGATCAGTATCAGTTATTTTTCACTTGGAATCTTGCCAAATGAATTAAAGTGACTGTGATCAAAGTGTAAAACTACAAATGCGTCTTTCCAGTTATCTTTTCCTCTTGGTAATTGAGACATGCTTAAATATCTATCTCTCATTCCTATTCAATTTGGATTTTTTTTTCAGTATCTGTGCCATACAACATTTATTATTGCTACATCAAATTTCATATTGTCTTTTATTTCTCTTTTAAAAGATTTTAACGTTTTTGGTACTCCTTAGAATGGTAAAGTTGTGCAATATCAACCACAGATTTAAAACTTGGACTGGTAAATTCCTGTTACCATCTGTGAAAGAGAAATCCTGGAATTTTGCCTTCTTTTACCTATTATTTTATGGAATAAATAAACTTAACTGCCCTTCATTTTCTTGGAAGCAAATGGAAGGAATTTCATCTTCATTCACACAAAATCATACCTGTTTCCTTCATGAGAAAAAAATAGAGGAGGCAGATTTCTTTAGGCTAGGGAAGAAAAGATGGAAGGCAAACATCCTGAAATGTATAAAAGGCTGTATTATACAGGGAATGTTCAGCTATCCTTGTTCAGTGGAGCAAGTATTTTAGGTTGAATACTGGGAAGAACTTTATGGCTGAGCTGGATACTGATCACCTGCAGCATTCCCTGGTCTCCTTCATTGGCAAACTTGAAGGATAAGCTAGAGATCTCTTTTAGAATGGTCTAAACATTTAATTTTGCCTGGTTCAACCCTGACTGTAGACATAGATTTCTCCTGTCATAATGAAACAACATATTTGAAAATGTAAAATATAAGCATAGCCTTCTGGCATAGATTTTTAAATGGGAGCTTTAGGTGAGATTGCAGCACAAATGACTGAAATAAATCAACCTTAAGTCTTCTGAAAGATGGAATTAGCCTAAAAGGACTTTAAAGGCAGGGTGCAATACCTTGGATCTTATCACTTTCTCTAAAGTGTTGATGATAACTGAAGATACAGCATTTTTCAGTCAAATGGATTGCATGTGATAGATCAAAAGTGTCCTAATGGGAGTGTTTCAGTAAAAACAAAACCTTGTTTTGTAAAGGGAGGGACTTAATTTTTGGGGGAGGGATAGTGGAGTAAGATAGGTCCTTTGATTCAGAGCTGCATTGCTTGGATAAGGTTGTTTCAGAAATCATTGTACTACTGCCTAGAGAAGCTCAGAACTGGAGTATATCCCCATCTCTTGAAGACAAGTCCTCTTACAGAATGGCCACCTTTGCAGACCTTCCTCTTACCTGCTGGATCTGGTTTTGGGGGTTTTGTTTGTACCCTGTTCTGAAGCTCAGGAAGTTGAATATAGAGAGCTGTTCTTCCTTGAAGGGAGCTAATGCCTGCATGTCCTTCTGTGGGGTGCACTGCAGCATGTCATGAAGTGAAAACTTTGACATTTAAAATCATCCAGTGACTAACAGATGCCCCAGGGTCACTAATTGTTCCCCTGCCTTCTTTGAACTTGACCTGAATGCCTTTATTTCAATAAGATGTCATGTCTTTAAGCTCAGGTTATCCCTAATAAGATATAATTGTTTTGACAGAGATGAACAAGAAATCAATGCTTTAAAGGAAGAAATAGATGGTTTCAATTCTCTGGTTGCTGATCTCCAGAAGGACATTGAAGGTAGTCGGAAAAGAGAATCTGAGCTATTGATATTCACTGAAAAATTAACCAGTAAGAATGCACAGCTTCAGTCTGAAAACAATTCCTTGCAGAGCCAGTTGGATAAGCTTTCTTACAGCGAAAGAGAGCTGCAGAATCAGCTGGAATGTGTTCAACAGACTAAAGATGATCTGGTGAGTACAGTGTGCAGCTTGATTTTTGCACTCGTAAGATGTCTGATACAGATAAAGATGTTCCACATGAATACCGCCTTGTGTCTTTGCTTACCTGACTGCAGTTTCTCATGGTGTTTGCCAATTTGGTAGAATAGTGGCAGTGGGATATGAACACCTCATGTTCCTAAAGGAAAAGAAATTCTGAGGTGCAATGCACTGGAATGAGGAGGTGTTATTGTGTTGCTCTTTCTGGGAGTAAAGAGTGGTTCTCTGTGCAGCTGTCATTGAAACAAATGAAAGGTTGTAATATCCTGTGAAATTTATTACTGTAAACTTTCTCAGGTCCTGTTTGTAGTATGAGATAAATGTAATTTTTAGTAAACTTAGTGTGTCATGGAAGGTAATGTGACTGTACTGTACAGCTCTGCAAGGCTTTGTACTTTATCATCTAGATGTTTTAGAGATAGTTCTGGAATCTTACTGTTCATCTGCAGGGCTATTGTTCGGCCTAAATAATAAATGTAAAATGTGAAAGATTCTGAGTTGAAAAGTGCAGTTAGAGCTGTTGAGCATACAGTATGGTTAGGCTAGAATGTTTTTGTAGATTACTGAAAATAAAATCACACTTTCAGGCCACCAAGTTACAGAAGGAGGAGGATCAACGGAAGCTGGAGGTTGAGACGCTGCAGACCCAGGTGGCATCAGAGCAGGAGGAACGAGCAGCACTGAAGACCCAGGTGGATGAGCTCAAGGATGACCTGGCTACCCAGAAGCGCAAGCACGCAGCAAACCTGAAAGACCTCACAAAGCAACTTCAGCTAGGTGGAAATTATTTTCAGTTATGAGTCAGCCCCCCTCTGTAAATCCCTTCACAGTGTCTGGTAGAGAGCTGTCTGTGTGTGTGTGTGCACTGCTTGAGTGTCACCCTTCAAGCTCTCCCTGTCCCTAACAAGAGTGAGTGAAGAAGTTAGATCTTGTGGAAGCTGCACTTACAGACCTTTGTGTCAGTTTTTGGTCTTAAATGTAACTCTTGAAGTGGACTTAGACCTAAAATGAAAGATTTGTTGCAAAAGAGCTTGGTCTTTGTTATGATGTATGTGACTACTGAAATGTCACTGTGGGTATATATGGATCCTAGTCTGTGTAGGAGTATATTCAAAAGTTGCTAGAAGTTTCCTAGTTGCTGACTGTATCAGGAATTGCTGGTGACAGTTATTTTTTTAGTACATTAGAACACTTCAGTTTTTAAAAGCTGGATGTGGAGGGACTGGTGACTAACTTTTTGTATAAATAGAAGCCATCAAATACCCAATAATACATATGTTCTGAATTCAAATAGATCTGAAGGTAATCAAATCTGTTTCAAGTGTGTTTTAAAGAAGATGTCCTGTTGGCATTGTGCAAGACAAGTTCCATGCCCCTTTTTGTACATAAAAGAACAGCTGTGTGCTTTCCTTCTTGATCCCTACTGAATGAGTAGTGCTTCTGGCACAAGTACTGCACTGGGCTGGCCGTAGTGATACAGTTATCAGATGCTGGAACAGAGCTGCCATTCTTCCATTCAGGAGTTATTTACATGGCAGTCCTAATCAAAAGTAAAATCAAATTTAGTCTTACTGTTCCCAGGTAATCCTATGTATGACATTACCCGTTTCAACTGGCTGCAGTGTTTAGGGATTGTGGCGGATGATATTCAGGTGCTTCGTGGTCAGGGATGGAGAGAGACGGGGAGCTGTTTGGTTTTGGGTTTTATTTTTAGTTGCTACCATTATCTTTTGGTTTTCAAGCCATGTTAAATTAGTGCAGGTAGAGGATTAGAGTTTTTGTATGTTGGGTAACACTGTAATTTTTAGTTTTTAATCTGCTATTGGTAACCATCACTTTGTTACACTTTTAGCACGGAGGAAATTGGATCAGATTGAAAATGGTAATTATGACAAAGAAGTCAGCAGCATGGGGAGCCGTTCCAGTTCATCAGGTAATACAGCACATAACAGGGCTGCCAAAATAACCTTTCGATCTTAGTACAGCTGCCATGATGTGCTGCCGTGAGCCTCGCTCTTTCTGTGGTTTGTGCATATGCAGTGTGTGGGCAGCCTCCCAGTAAAGCTGACAAAATAGCCTTTAAGCACCAAAATGCACTTTGGCTGACTGCAGTTGTAGGTGCTTATTAAGATATTAAAGTGTAATGTTTATGTATCTCAGTTCTTTTTAAATACCTGTCTGTTTTATTTTGTTGCTTTTATGTTTGGAGGAAGCTCAGAGGACTCCAGTTTATACAGGACCCTTTCACATGCTGCCAGAGGCAAAAAAAAAAAAAAAGAGCAGTGGCTTCCAGCATTGTTTAATTGCCATATTGACAGTTGCAACTGTGTAAATGATAAATCAATTAACATCATTAGAGGCATCAGTGGGTTTGTGTAAAATTCATTACTTTCTATCTGGTGAGAACTAGAACAGTGATCTTCAGCACTGAAAATGACATCTGTTTCCTTCCTTTGTATCTCTGGGGTTTAAGTGGGCTTTGTTTTGTCAAAGTGTCCTGTAATGTCACCATATGAGAAAGACAAATGCTTAGAAAGAAGAACAGAAAGTAAAGAAAGTACTTCAAGCTTTAAGTGATTGGTGCTGCGGAGTGTTTATACGTAGGGCTTTGTCAGTCTGTCCAGTTTTTATAGTGTTGTAATTTTAGTGTACTCCAAAATGTATATATTTAAAATCAGCTCAATCTTGTACCAAGTTAATGAATATGAAGGTATTTAAGCAGGAAGAAGCATTATTGAAGGAAGCACCCTTAGGCTAAAGGAAGTACGCCCATAAGAGGGGACTGCACTGCTGTCTCAGCCTGTGCTGGTGTAAGGATTGTTTATGGAAAACCCTGCTAACAAACAAGGGAAACTGACATCCTGAAGAAAACATCCTGAGCTCCTGAAACAATGAATGCATGCACTGCACTGGTGGGGCACTTCTGGAATAAATGCAAAAGGAATTTGTACAAATACACGTGTGTTTCAGGGTCCCTTAACGCGCGCAGCAGCAATGAGGATCGGTCTCCTGAGAATACTGGATCTTCAGTAGCTGTGGATAGCTTCCCAGAGGTGGACAAGTCTGTCCTGGTTGAAAGAATACTGAGGCTACAGAAGGCACATGCTCGAAAAAATGAGAAGATGGAGTTTATGGAGGATCACATTAAACAACTGGTGGAGGAAATCAGGAAAAAAACAAAGTATGTTCTGTGTTCTGTTCATACAGTTTGTAAGTGTTGAGCTGATGTACTAGATAAATAGTCTGGATTTTATGTAAGACAAGTAATTGTCTAAAGGAAAATGTTTAAAAATAATAAAAATATTGCAGTGACAGTAGATTTTAAAAGTAGGATTAGTCTTGGTTTTTTTTCCTTATCTTTCCCTGGCAGTTATAGTAATTGCCAAGTTTTTGACAATTATTACTATTACTAAATTTTTTCAGGAGGAATAGACTGCTGCAGGTGGGTTTTTGTTAGCAAAATGGTCACTAGGTGGCTGATTTGAGGTGGACTGCTGCCACTGGCTAACAGAAGAGTCCATTCTCTTCCTGCGCTTAAAAGAGTGCTGATTGTAAGTGTTTTGGAAGGAGAATCTGCATAACTCCAGATGGTAGTCTGGCATATGTATCAGAGAAGTAATGTATCTGAGCCAAAGGTGGTCAGTAGTTAACATGTGAGACAAGATTCCACTTAAATGGAAGTCATCTTACAGGATAATGTCTGGAACATTAGTTAGGAGGGGAAGGAATGATGGCATATGCCTTCCTCTGGAAAGTGCACTTGCCTGTTAAGAATAGCCCTTGCTTAATGAGTCCATACATTTATGCCCATCTGGTCCCATTTCACAGAACATGATCACAGCTTGGGAAGAGTCCTGAGAAGAGACTTTGTAATTTTTGTCTCATATATAGAAAGCTTAAGATTCTCTGTCTGGAGTCTTTCAGCGAAGAAAAGTAGAGACATCTTTTTTAAGTACCTTTTTTGTCTTTATTTAGAATACTTCTAAATAAAAAAATCCTTGTGTATTGTAGTGCCTCATCTTACCAGCATCTCCTCTATCACTTTTGGTATCCCAGGTTTTCCTCTGACTTTGAAATTGCAGGAGTAAATTTTTACTGTCTTTTTAGTAATATAGTACTGCTTGTAAATAAAATTACTCATGTCAAGAGTCTGAAGTTACTTCAGTGTCTGACTTTTCACTGCCTTTCACAACAACGTAACACTGATGTTGTTGTTTTTATTTTTTTTATTCCCCAGAATTATTCAGAGTTACATTTTGCGGGAAGAAGCTGGAACACTGTCATCAGAGGCCTCTGACTTCAACAAAGTACACCTGAGTAGACGGGGTGGGATTATGGCATCTCTGTACACATCTCATCCTGCAGATAGTGGTCTCACATTGGAACTCTCCTTAGAGATAAACAGGAAGCTACAGGCTGTGTTAGAGGATACATTACTGAAAAACATTACATTGAAAGTGAGTACCTATGCCAGTTCTTTCATTCTTGTGCTTCTGAGATGCTGCCTTCAGAGATGCATGGAGTTAAAAGGCTTTTCAGAAGTCAGCTCATTGTGAATTGGTTAACCAGAGAGTTATGTGGCATGATCCATGCTGAACCTCTGGTCTGGGACCCTTGGAGTACAGTGCACTGATGGGTTGCTGCTTGAAATAAAGTCTGGCCTGCCTAGGCCTTCAGCAGGGCAGGATCTCTCTGTGCTCTGCCCCAGTCACATGGAGCCAGGAGCATGGGCTCTGCCTGCCTGGCCCTGTACCAGCACCTGGGTTCCTTCCTGAGCTACTGGGGCAGCACCTCTGCTGCAAGGGAATGAGTCAGGCTGGAAAACAGTGTGCAGGCTGCCAGCTGGACTGCAGTGTTCTGCAGAAGTTGGAGATCTCTTCCTGTAATTATAATTCCCCTTGAATGCTGTACTTTCTAGACATCCTGTAGAATATTAGTAACTGCAGAAAAAGACTTGCTGAGAGGTTTGTGTCCTTTATTGAAGTGAGCTTGGTTTTCTCCAACTCTGTATAATCATTTGCATTTGTTCCGAGTACTTGAAAGTATCAACCTGCTGACATAAACAGTAATTTTGACTTATTAGTGTATTTTGTGCTGATTGACTCCTTTTCCCTGTATAACTTGCCCTATCATTTTTTTTCCCCTCAAAGGAAAACCTTCAAACTCTAGGAACAGAAATAGAACGGCTTATTAAACACAAGCATGAACTGGAACAGAGAATAAAGCAGACATAACTAAAACTTCTATGGACTAACCAACATGAAGATGCAGAAAAGGCAGGTGCTACAGACCACTGTTTTTTACACTTTGCCTGCCAGCACAAGCATCTGGTATTTTGCAAAAAAAGCCTTTGACCACAGAGGCTTAGTTGTGTGAGAGATCGACAGGGTTTGGCATCACTGTGGTTCTGTCAACCCAGCCTGAGGAGCTGCTGAATTTCACTACACACTACATTTATCTAGAACTTTTATTTGAAAGGACATACAGATGCTTTGCAGTGCATACTACGTTTTGAGTGAGTTGCTGTGAGATTTTAATTTCTTCACTGTGTAATTAATCAGTCTCTTAATGATGGAACTTGAAAAAAATAAAGCCAATTATGTCTTAGTTGCTTTTGAACATATCCAGTGTTACTGAGCTTTAAGGGCTTTCAGACATTATTTCCTTTCTTGCATATTATTTCTGATCCTTAGGTTGATTAAGCATTTTTGACATATGCATGGAAAAGTGCTCTGTCACAAAATTTTGGGATTTAAGTGGTGGCCACGATATTGCATATTTTCTGCTTTAGATTAACATTCAACTGCTCGGTTTCTTTATTCAAATGAAGTGAAACAACAGTAAAACTAAGGGATTAAGAAGCTTTCTGATTTAGGTCTTGAGTACATGTAATTGAAACCAATGTCAGTTCAACAAATCTTTTAAACCCTTGATCTTCAGGCATATGGATCTAAAGAAGTCTGATATCAAGTAATTGGTTAATAAAGATTTCTGAGCTTCTGTGTAACTAACAGCATTTAAGAAGTAGGAGTGTTAGTTGCCCATTGTTCCATAAGTACACGTAGACGTGGTGATTGCATCTGTTTCAAAGACAAATGGAAGTTAACTAACTTTTCTTATTACCTATGGCTAGACCAGTCAATGAGAGTAGTGGTAAAAAATAAGAAATATATTTATATGGGATTTTAATCTATTGTTGGACTGTGGAAGTGGCACAGAAATCTGTCCAACTCCTTGATTTTACTGTTGTAAAGAATTAGTTGGTCAAAATGGCACAAACTGAGGGCTGTTATTTAGTCCTTCAGCGTCTGAGAGGGTTATGGAGGAAGAGTATCAAGGTGACAAAATTTGGGTTAGTCACAACATCATGTTCACATTTTAATTTAATTCCAGGATAAATAATATACAGGATCTGAAATATCTCTGTTGCAGCAGTAAATGCATAGTTTCTGTATCTATTGCCTTTTGACCAAAATAAATAGATCAGATTACAGTGTAAATATATACACCAGGTTTTTATTAAATACTTGAACTTCCTATTGACATGAAAACAGAGTCCCTGTACATTTACAATAGCAGTGCTTTAGCTATTTTAATCAGAAGGGGGGGGTTGTAAGAATCTGTCTTACTGCAGGCACCTTTTGCATCCTACACATATGAATGATGTAGGGGTGTGTACACCATTTTCAGGTGCCACTGAGTTGCTTGAGCTTTGTAATGAAACACACAGAGCAAAAGGGCCTGATTTGGTGTGAATAGTTTGGTTCAAGACAATGAGATTTCCTTATTACTTTAAAAATAGGCGTCTCTGAAAGTCCTTGCGGGATCAAGACCTGGTTTGTGGTCCAGAGGACTTCAAGAGCCTGGGATGACAGGTCCTTTCAGTGTCAAAGGATCAAGTATCTCTTTAGAAAGGGAGAGTGGGAACAAATTGTTTAAAACCTGACCGAGCATTATGTAGAAATTGCAAGCCTTTAATCTGGGTGGGTTTTTATACATCTATTTTTCTAATTCCTGAGAGCAATGGTTATCTGAAGTGTTAGGGAACTTGGACCAGTCCAGTCATGGGACTACCTCTGCTTTACTGTTGTTTAAGTGATGTAAAAAGGAAAATACCTGGCTCTGCTGGAGCAGATTTGTCACCAGCTTCCAGGAAGTGAACAGACAGTTGTTTGTGACTGAGCTAGATCTTCTGCTGAGAGAAAGTATTTTAGAACAATTTGCATGCTAAAACATAGCTTAGCTCTTGTATGTTTGTGTTTTCATGCTTTAATGTACCAGATCTCCAGATATTTTCAGGCGTTCAGCTGAATGACTCCAGTATTTTAGATACCATGTTAATATTGTAATCATTTAATGTATGTTCTCCAGGTGTACAGTGTGAATGAAGGAGAGGTGTGGTGCAGATGGAATCAGTGCAATGATGTGGAAATTCTTATTTCTTTTTGGCATGGTTGTTTCTCCTTTTAAGTTATTTGAGAAACCCAGTTAGCTGTCCTCCTGCCCTGCTGGCAATGCTGCTTACTCTTTGTAGCACTAGTAACTTTTCAGACTTTTTTTCCTTGGTCATGGAGACACACAAAGCAGACAAAATATCACACTGTTTATTGTGCACGGTACTTTCATGGACCAAAGTTGTCATCCACAGGTGTTACTTGAAACACATCTGTTAGAGATGGAAATGTCATTCTAGCTTGCACAGTGGCAAATGACTCTCTAGTTAGCCCAGAATGTGATGAATACCCAATGGGGTCAGCCAGCAACTTTACTTGATGATGTTCCTCATTTCTGAGAGGCAGTGATGTATTAGCCATAAAATGTTACTGGCAGGCCAGGTGCTGTGGTTTCCATGGGATTACTTGTCAGGAGGGTGATACTGTTGGTGCACGTAAAGAGAATACTTTCTGTGGAAAAATGTGTTCCTTTGGGGTGGTTCACACAGGTGAACACCAGCTGGTGCAGAGTGGCTGCAAGACTTGCTTGCAATCACATTCCACTTATCTTTGTTTTGGAAACTTTACTGAAACTGAAAACTGTCCTCTGATAAACTGCATTTTAGAGATAAACTAATTATGAAGGCAGCCTGGAGCATTTAGGTACCTACCTGTCACTGAAATTCAGTGTCCATTAGATGTGTAATTGCTACAGGCTGCTGTTGAAAATTCCAAGCTTGAAGCTAGTTGTGTCTTACAGGCTTAAACATCTGTTTCTTAAATACTCAGGGTGCTCTTTTAATTCGAACATCACACATACAGATGTTGTTAGAGACCCTACAAGAAAGCTGCCTATGCTTTTCTACCCTCTGTAAAATTCAGAGCTTTCATTTTCTGAATGAAGTCTGACCCTCTGACCTGAGGAATACCATTTTATGCTATAGAAATCACTGGCTTTCTGCCATGTAGACTTGTGCAATATTTTTAATTATAGTGTCCAGAAAAATGGAGATTGATTTTTTTCCTTGGATATTTTCTCCTTATCTTTACTTGTTGCTGGCAACACCTGCAGTGTCTCTGAATATTTCTCATTACAATGGTTTGGTTCATAACTAAAAAAAAAAAAGAAACTGTATCTCTGGCTTCCAGTGCATCAGGTGTCTGAATCTAGGAGGGGCTCAGAGAATAAGGCCTGTCAGAAAAGGATATTCACCCTTCCTGCTGTCAGCAGGAAGCACTGTGACTGCATACCAGCAGTAGGTGGCACAAGGAATCAGGTGTACCGTGTCCCACCTGTCCATGGGCAGATGGCTGCGGTGCAGGGGGAGCTGGGTGGTATTTAGAGCTTTTCCAAGATGGATGGGCGTTTCCTTCCCGTTTTCGTGTCCTAACTGAAACTATGTTGAATCTTCCAATATATGTGTGTCAGTCATCCGAATATACACAGAATGTCTATTGGTTTAATTTTGTAGATACCTGTTTCTGTATAAAGTTTTTGAAGATATTGCTATACCTTATGTATATACTGTACTTTGAAATAATAAACATACAAATGTATGAAAGTCTGCTTTGGGTCTGTGGTTTGTCCTGCTGTTTATTTACTGCTGCCTAACTCGGGGTTGTGCTGACGGCTCTCAGTGAGGGCCTGCGGGGGTGGCAGCGGGTGCTCACCGTTAGGGAGTGGGAGCCTCCCAGTCCCACAGTGCAGAGGTGTCCTTGTGATGCTTGTAAACAAGTACTCTGGGCTACAAGGAGCTGGATTAACAGCTGACTGTTCTTGCTGGTGTGCAGGGCACCATCAAAGCGCCTTCTTGTTCCCCCCCTCGTGGAACAAGGTGGATTTCAGTGGATATAAGCAATAGGATCAGTGTTGGAGGCGTTGCTGCTCCCCCCAGCCTGGCAGGGCTGTGCTCGCTGCCAGCCTCCGCTTTCCTATTGCACCGTGTAAACAGGAGGTGGCAGTGCCTCTTCTCCGGTACTGCCAGTGGGTTTAACAGCAAAGCCAGAGAAAACAGGCCAGCTCTCCTCTCCCTGCTGTACTTTATCCCTTGGAAACTGCGGTGGACAGGTGATAAGTGTGCTGCAGTTCAGTGCTGCAGTCCCAGTAAGCAGCCCCAATGCTCGACTCCCCTTTTCCATTGTGCAATATGAATTTAACAGTCCTGCAGTCACAGTGGCAAGGGCTGGTTCCTTGGCTGCGGCTCCACAGTTGGGATGCTATTTGCTGCTCTGATTTATTTATTCCCTTGTAGAGATCTGATGTGTTTAGCCACGATGGTACTGTTTTATAAAAATAGTAAAGGATGCTGTCTGGTTCCTGGCTGTTCATTGTGGCTGTGCTTATATTAAAAACTTGGGAATTGGATTTGTATGGGTTGTCCTGCCCTTGCAACCTCATTGTAGGGAGACATTAGAAAAGGAAAAAGGAATACTGTGAATGGGATAATTATGGAGTTTATTCAAGTATCTCCCTGAGTACCTTAAATTAGACAAGGTGGTATCCTATTTTCTGCTGAAATTTAATGGTAAACTACCACAAGCTTCCCAGGACGGGGGCTCCCGGTAAGTTTTCTGGTTACTGTTACCTGTCTGACCCTTTGTCAAAATTGTTTTGCAGTTTACCTTTTTTTCTTCCAGCCTTTTCCACTGATGGGAGGTACAGCTCTTGGTGACAGATGTGACCAAAAATCAAGGCTCGTTTGTGCTTTCCTAGTACTTAATGCTGTGTTTTGGAAACAAGGGCCTGAAGCTAAGCTTCCTCAAATACTAGTTTTGGCTTTGGTGGTATTTGCAAGTAGCCATTTGGTGAACCACTTCCCCACCTGTTTTTAGGTGTCACACAGGCTGACATGGCACAGCTCTGTGTGCAGAGGGTTCTTGTGGCACACTAGTGTTAAGTGCTTGGTCCTGAAGGAAGCCAGTCTGATACTGGAGCTCTTGGGTGTTAAATATCTAACCAGTGTTAGCAGTTTGCTTCTCT